CCCATCCCATGACGGCGATGAGGCGGCGATAATGCCATTAGCCCGGGGATTACGCGCCCGCGCCGGGATGTGACACACTTTCTCAAATGGAAGTTTTTTAAACAGAGGGATTTACATGATCCCCCACCGTGCCCCTCCATCCCTGTACCCATTCCCATTCCCATCCTCGGTGCCAGCGCGGGTTCCAGCGGGTCTCCCCGCTCTGGGACGGCCCGGACTGGGGCTCCCGTCGCCTTTTAAGGCAGCGGGCTCGGTGCGGGCTCGGCGCCGCGCCCCGACGTGGGGAGCTGGGCAGCCCCGGGGGCGCGGGGCTGGAGGGGGGTCACTCCGCCCCGCGCGGGGAGAGCGCTCCGTAATTAAAAAAAAAAAAAAACAATGAAATAATTTAAAACTCAATCAGGCGGAGGGTTAAGCGCGCTCCTGGCTCAAAGCAACGTGGAGTAACGGGGGAGCGGAGGACGCGTGTCCCCCCCGGCCGGGCCGGGGTCACTCGCCGCCCGCCCTGACAAACAAGCCGGGAAATGTGTTTATAAATTGTTCAAACTCTGGATAAACTTCAGCGGCGTTTGTGTCTGCGTCTCCCCGCCTGTTGTTATTTTCCAGAAATCTGGATTACTGGAAATATTTTCTTTAAAGCTGGAAAGAAATCTAAACAGTCTGAGGGCAGGGGGAGCTCGGAGCAGGGGGGACAGCCCGGGGGCTGCCGCGCTGGCGGGGCTCCGCGGGGTTCCCTGCGCACGGAAGGGGCGCGGAGCTCCGCGGCCGCGCGGCGGGAGGAAGAGGAGGGAGGAAGGAGGGCGGCGGGGCCGGGGCTGGTGTTGGGTCGAGCATCTCTCCCGGTGGCTGTCGATAAAAGGGCATCAGGCGGCCCCCGGTGCCCGGCGGCCCCTCCCCGTCGCCTCCAACGGGCACCGGAGCACCGGAGGGGGGCAGAGTCGTTTTCCCGGGATCTCCCGGGGGTAAGGGAATTCCCACCCCGCCGAGGGGTGTGAGGGGAGATGCGGCGCCCCGCGGAAGGGAAGCAGAGGAGGGGTGGACGCGGGTGGGTGAGAGCAAACGAGGATGGATTCATCACACGTGGGGTTCTTTTCCTCTCCAGGTGGAGCAGAGAAGAGCGGCCGAGGAAGCTGCTGGGACTGTGGGGTCGCCTCCTCCCCGCCTGCCCCACGGCCCAGCTGCGGCGGGAGGGTCAGGTCGGACCGGGGGGCACACCCTGGGACTGGTGGGGGCCACCGAGTCCCGCGGGGACCCAGTACCTTCGGGATAGAGGGAGTTCCCCACCCCGCACCTGCGGCTTCGCTCTGGGGGGCCTCTGACATCCCCGTGTCTGTTCTTCTCCCGGGGAAGCACCGTGGAACCCAGTCCTGTGGCACCGTCCCCCTCCCTCCACGGCACGGCCTGTTTCCACCCCCGCTCTGGTCCCTCCGCTTGGGAAGGTGCGAGAAGCTCGGTCGTCCTCGCCAGGGGCCCCGGGGTGCCCTCTTGCCGTGGCATCAGTGCCGGGAACGGGGGGGCCGGCGGAAAACCCGTTCGCCTGGAGCCCCTTCCTCGGCCGCGGCTGGTGCACCCCGTCGGGGGGGAGCGCTCCCCGGGGCGCGGGGCCGCCGCAGCCCGGTGGAGCCGGGAGGAGGGGAAGGCGGAGGCCCGGCTGCTTGTGAGAATTGTTATTTTTCATCAATCACCCGCAATTTGTGTAAGTGCCCCGGACAGGACACCAGCCGTCCTGCTGGCTGGGGTCACGGAGACAACACAGCGATGGAGAAGAGCAAATTGCATTTGCTCACCAGCTCACAGATCCAAATTACGGCCCTCGCATGGCGCGGGGAAGGGAGCGAAAGGTCCATGTGACATGAGGGAAATATGAAGGACTTTGACAGGTCTTAAACGGCCTGGCGCCAAGGCCTAAGTCTACCGGCTAAAAATAGAAAAAGGATGATGAGTGGAGATGGGCAGAGATGAAAGGGGAAGAGCGAGCGGGGCCGCGCTGCGGGGCGGGTGGGGGGCGGAGGCGGCCCGATGGGACAGTTTCTCCGGGCTGGACCGGGACAGATCCCCAGGACGGATCTCCGGGACGAATTCGCGAGAAGGCCCGGCCTCCATCCGCCCCAGCCTGGGGACCGCACGCCGCTGTAGTGCCGGGCCCGCAGGCGGCCGGGGCGGCTCCCGGGAGCCGGACACGGTGGCCCCGAGCGCTGTAGGTTGGAAAACCCTCCCTGGAAGGGGGCTGCGCGGGGACAGCTCTCGTCCCCTGTCCCCGGGGCACAGCTGCCCTCAGGGTGGGAGCCGAGGCCGTGGGTTCCTCTCTCCCTGCCCCGTGCTCGGTCACCGACGGGGCGATGCGCAGCCTGTCCCGACCATGGGTGCGGGATCCTGAGTCGCGTCCGCGCCCGTAGTGGATACTCTGGTCCCCGCTATCCCCCTACCCCCGCAGTCCCCTTGTGGGGCGTCCCTGCGGAAGTTCGAGGAGACGAGGCTGCTCTGGATCGGTTTTATTCCTCAGGCGAGGCCGTTTGTGGTGTTTACAGCGGGGCGGGGGGCGCGGGCGGGGGGCCGGGCAGTGGCCCCGAGGGGAGGCGACCTTTCCTCGCGGGGACACGGCTGTGTCCGGGCCCAGAGGAACAGCAGGCGAGGTGTCCGTGAGAGAACAGCCGCGGCCTGAGGGGATTCGCCGCGGGGCAACGAAAGACTCCGCTTTTGCTTTGTGAGGGGGGAATTCGGAAAAAAAAAAAATTACAAGCAAGCCCCACTTTTGCCAAAGCTGCCGTCAGCAGTTTTCCGCGGCGGCAAGGAAGCAAAGTCCAAATTGGGTCTAAATTTCAGTCCCCGCTGCCCGTTCAATGGTCAGTGGGACCCCCCCGGCCCCGTCGCCCGGGGCAGCCCCGGGGGGGGACGCGCGGTGCCCGCCCCGCCGGGCGCGGTGCGGGGCCGGGCGCGGTGCGGGCAGAGGTGAACCTGCCGCGGGACGCGGGCAGGTGGTGATCGGCCCGGAGAACAGCCTGGGGCCGGGGCTCCGCGTGGCGCCGGGGGACAGCGGGCGGGGGTCACTATCGGCAGGATGAACGGGGGCAGAGGGATAAAGAGGAGAAGCCGGGATGGGAAGGGGGCATCGGGAGGTCCCTGCGTCCCGCCCTGCGCGGGGAGCAGCGACACACGGCCACGAGGGCTCCGAGCGGCTGCGGCCGCTCCTCGCTGCGCATCCGCGGAGCGTGAGGGCCGGGGGCGGAGAGGGGGCCAGGCCGGGGGACAGAGGAGTGGGCCGGCCGTCACCCCCCCGTCCCGCCTGGCCGCAGCGCAGGCGGCGGGGGCAGGAGCCTTGGAAGGATGGCAGGGCGCTTTTTGAAGATTTGGGGGTAAATATGAAGTGACAAGAGACGGGTCTTTATTGTGAGGGCTCAGCCGCCTGGCGCCAGGGCCCTCTTCAGCCACCGCGGCCCTCAGTTAATCAGCGCAGATCTCCAAACCGGCCTCTCCGAGGGGACACCCACCGCGCCCGCCGCCCCCCCCCGGGCCCCGGCGCGGCGGGACCGGCCCTAATCCCTCAGCAAACAGCCCCGGAGTGTCCCCCCTCCTCCTTATCTGCCTCCCCCTGCCCGGGTAAACAGCCCCTCCGGCCGGGCACAGCCGCGCCGGCCCCCGGCCGTGCAGCCGACGCGCCCCGACGGCGGGGTCCGCGCCTCCGTCGTGGGCGCGGAGCTACGGGCGGGACCCCCCCTCCGCGGTCCGGGCGGCTGCCGGCAGGGCGGGGGGCGACGGCTGGGAGCGACTCACCCGCGCTGGAGGTCGCCGCTCGGGGCCTCGCCGCCGCCCGCAGCTCTCCGCAGGGCCGCGCTCCCGGCGGCCGCCCCGTCGGCGCTGCGCGGCCGTGCGCGGTTGTGCGCGGAGCGGCGGGCGGGGCGCGCCCCACCGCGATCCGCTCTCCAGGATCTGTCATAAAGCGGCCGCAGCCGGGCTCGCCCGGCCGCTCTCCCCCCCACCTCCCCGGCCTCGCCGCCCCCGCGGAGACCGGCGGGGGCCTCTGCCGCCGCCCCCCGCCCCCGTGGCTCCGCTCCCCGCTCCGCCGAGGTGGCTCCGCGCTGGCCCCGCACCGGCGGCGCAGCCGGGGCTGACCCGGTATGCGGAAAGGAGCCGGGGGTGGGATTTCGAGCACTTTTCTCTGTCATTGGTTAATATTTTATTCTGTTGACATGTTTTCTTACTGCCGATGCTTCCGACACCTTCTTCTTTTTTTTTTTTTCTCCCTTTTTTTTTTCCCCCCTCTTCTTCCCTTCCTCCCTCCCTCCGCGCCCCCCGCCCCCCCGAGCCCGGAGCTTGGCCGGAGCTGTCAAAACCCCGCCTATGCAGATCCACAATTGGTCTGAAACGCGTAAAATCAGCAATCAAGGGGGCTTGGCTCATTAGCGGGCGGATCAGAGCAGGAAGGACATGTGAGATAGTCACAGTTTTACAGAGATCAGGACAAGATCTCACCGTTCCCACTCGGCTCCTTTGGCCATGAGCAGCCCGAGCCCCAGCGCCGAGCGCGGAGCGCGGAGCCGGGCCGGCCCCGCCGGGGCTCAGCCCGGGCCCGCGGGGGTGTGAGGGCAGCGCGGCCGCCCCTGCCCCGCCGCGCCCCGCGCAGCCCCGCGCAGCCCCAACCCGGCTTTTGTTTCTATTTTAGTGTCGAGAAGGACTTTCCTGGGAGGGCTCGTTCCCTCGCTCGCTCTCCCTCGCTGCAACAACAACAACAAAAAATAAGGACCTACTGTCTCCCCTCCGCAGACTGGGAGTCCCAGGAGCCGGGAACTGCCTCGATATTTTTTTGTTTTTCTTTCTTCTTCTTCTTCGTTTTTTTTCCTTTTTTTTTTTTTTCCCGAATCTAGTTCCGCTGATTTTCGCCTTTCTTTTTTTTTTTTTTTTTTTTTTTTTGTATGCTTTTTTTTGGAGCGTGTGTGTGTGCTCTTGATTTTCCTTCCTCTTCCAGAGACTCAAGCGAGTTCGCTGGGCAGGAGAGGGGAAAAAAAATAAAAATACAACAGACACACACACGCGCATTTTTTGTAAAGGGAATCCCTCTTTTTCTCCTGGATTTGTGGATGCACCGATGAGAGATCCAGCCTTCCCAGGGACTGCCATGGCTTACCACCCCTTCCACGCACCCCGGCCGGCTGACTTCCCCATGTCCGCTTTCCTCGCAGCCGCCCAGCCGTCCTTTTTCCCGGCTCTGGCTCTGCCTCCGGCGGCGCTGGCGAAGCCCATGCCGGACCCGGGGCTGGCCGGGGCGGCCGAGGCCGGGCTGCACGTCTCGGCCCTGGGACACCACCACCAAGCCGCCCATCTGCGCTCGCTCAAGAGCCTGGAGCCCGAGGAGGAGGTCGAGGACGACCCCAAAGTAACGCTGGAAGCCAAAGAGCTCTGGGACCAGTTTCACAAGCTGGGCACCGAGATGGTGATCACCAAGTCCGGGAGGTAAGAGCCGGCCCCGCGCGGCCCCCACAGTCCGCCCCGCACCTGCGCGGCCGCGCAGCGCCCTCGCCCCTCTCTCCATCCCGCTTCCCATCCGCCCCCGAGAATTAACGCGGGGAGTTTCGATCTCTGGAGTTTTTCGGAGGTGTTTCCCCCCCCACACCTCCTCCGAGCTTTCTCGCCACCCCCCAATTACTACTTTTCGGAGCGCGATCCCAAATTAAATTCGTGCGCGTTAATTGAGCGCCCGGAATCCGCCTCTCCCGTTGTTTACGCCGCTTCCCGCCGCTTCCTTCCCTCCTGCCAAACTTTCCCCGCGTCCGGGGTCGTTCCCGGCCCTGGCCCTGGCCCCGGGCCCGGGGGAGGCAGCGGCGGGGCTGCCGGGGTGCTGGGCGAGCGGATCGGCGGAGGCCAGAGAAATGGGGTAAAACCAGCATGTATTTTCGCCCCTTATTTCCCGGAATGGGATTTTTGAGCTTTTCCCTGCTTTCTGTGAGCTGCAGAGCGGGATGAGAAGCGATGGGACGTGAGAAGTCTGGGAATCCTCAGCGAACTAAATTAGAAGATGGTGGTTTGGGAGCGGCACCCGGGGCCGGGCGGTGCGGGGGGCTCGGCGGGGCCAGGGGGTGCGGGGGGCTCGGCGGGGCCGCGGCCGTCGGGGGTCGTTTGCGGGCTGGCACAGCCCTGTACTTCTCTGGGTCTCTCCGCAGGAGGATGTTCCCCCCGTTCAAGGTGCGGGTGAGCGGCCTGGACAAGAAGGCCAAGTACATTTTGCTGATGGATATAGTGGCGGCCGACGATTGCCGGTACAAGTTCCACAACTCCCGCTGGATGGTGGCCGGCAAGGCCGACCCGGAGATGCCCAAGCGCATGTACATCCACCCCGACAGCCCGGCCACGGGGGAGCAGTGGATGGCCAAACCTGTTGCCTTTCACAAGCTGAAGCTCACCAACAACATCTCGGACAAGCACGGCTTTGTAAGTGCGGCTGCGGGGCAGAGTGTGGCCCCCCGGGCAGGCGCGGGGTGTCCCGGTGCCGGTGCTGCCCGGCCCGAGGGGAACGGCGGGGCTTTAAGGGCTCCTCCAGCCGGGTCGGGCTGGGCGGCGGGGCCTGGCCGGGCCTTGCGGTGATGTGGCTGTCCCGCAGCCACCCAGCCTCTGCTCCTGCCCGGCACGGAGGGGGCAGCTCCCCTTCCCCGGGGGAAAAGGGGGGATTGGGGTGCGGGCAGCCTCGGGATCCGCTTGGCTCCCACATCCGCGGCCTCCACGGCCTGTCCTGCCTCTTCTTCCCGGCCCTCGAGGCTCTGCGGGGACAGGGACTTGGGGCGGTGGATGTGCGGGGCCGAGGCCGTGCGGGGGATGCAGCGAGAGCAGCCCCGACGGGGCGGCGGGGCCGCGGCCGACCAGGGGCTGTCAGTGCCGGCCTGGCCGAGCCGAACCGGGCCGGGCCGGGGGAATGGAGGCGGCGGCACCTGCGCTGGGTTCCCGCGGCCGAGAGCAGGGCTGGAGTCGTTGGCAGCCTCGGCTCCACACCAGCTGCGTCTAAAAGCCCTTATTTAATTCTCTCTTGATCATATCTGCATCACCTAAAGGAGGTAAAACAGAACAAAAAAATACAGCCAAAAAAACCCACCAACCAAAATAAACAAAGAGAGGGAAAAGAGAGAGAAAGGAAAGAAAGAAAGCGCAGCGTGCTGGCCGTTTGCAGAGACCCGCAGAAGGCAGGGTCAGAACGCGAGGGGAGCGCGATCCTGCGGGAACGCACGGAGGGGGAAATCCCAGCGCCCCAACCAGCTCTGTAGCCTCTGGACACGCATTTAGGGCGATAAAGGGAAAGTTCATCGTGCAGCGTTGGTGATACGGTAATTAGTGGGGAGCCGGGGCCGGCGGAGCTGCGGGAACCCGCTCAGGTGGGGAGGGCAGAGCAGCTCCGCACCTCCCGGAGAGCTTTCCTCTCTCTTTTTATTTTTTCCACCTCCTCTTTTTATTTTTTCCTCTCTCTTTTTTTTATTTTTTTTATCCTCCTCTCTTTCTATTTTTTCTCTTTAGGCAGGAAACAGCGTCTTTGTTAAATAATACATTGCGAGGTTATTTATAGCCAGCAAGGTAAATCGATAGAGAAGGAGTCTAAAAAATACGGGTTTTTTTGTACTGGTTAAAAACTAGTTTGATTCAGCGTTTTTAACGGTTCGCCTCCTTCAATTAAAGATTTCTGGTATCTGTCGTTGTCCAAAATCCGGACTGTGTTAAATCTGGGAGATGAGGGTTTAGCCAGTGCCCATCTGGTCGGAGAGGGATGATTATTTTTTTTTTAAAGGAATGCAGATTTGTACGCCTCAATGAGACTTTTTGCACCATTTTCATGATAAATCCAGTCTAGATTATATCAATATAACAGCGATCCGACAGTTCATCAGCAGGTGATTATCGCTTGGGTTAAGAGGAAAAAAAAAAAAAAAGAAAAAAGAGGGGATTTTTTTTATTACCTTCTAAACCAAAATGAAGTGATAATTATTTAGCCATTTGGCCGACATTCTTTGACAATAATTACTCAAGCTTTCGCCGTTCCTCTACCAATTCTGGGCGATGAATTCTGCATTTCAGTCTGACCACAGCAGGTTGGGGAATTATTTAAACGCTATCGGGCAGGAAAACAGGCAGCGAGGGGCAGAGGGTCGGAGCCGCCCCAGGGGCGCGGCTCGGGGAGGGGGGGGATGATTCCGGCTCTTCCGAAAATCCCCAGCCAAATTGCGGGGATCTCGGGTTTAAAAAAAAAAAAAACCAAACAACAAACCAAACCGAAAAAATAAAACGAGAGGGTAGAGAACGGCTTTGAGTGTTGGCGAGGCTTTTAAACACCTGACTGGGGGAAAAAAAAAAAAAAAGTGTCTGTTCCTTCTGCAACGTTGCTCCCAGACATAAATTTGCCATGGTTCGTGGTGAAACGCTCCTTTCAGGTCGCAGGCGCTGGCTGGGGCTGGCACCGGCTCCTGCCGCCCCCGACACTAACCCAGAGCCTTTTAACATTATTTTTTTGTGGTGGCGAGGGAGAGTAACTTTTTTTTTTTTTGAGGACGGAAATATGAAAAGCGGCGAGAAACGCGTCGAAAATTCGCCTCGTTCACAGGGTTGTAATAAAACAGGGAGATCCCTTTTGCTGCTTTATTGCCGTGCTTAACACCCGCAAAGATGCTGCTGTGCCTGCGTTGCCTGACCTCCTTCTTTGGGAGCAGATCCTGCAACGGCATCAACAAAAAAACCAAGAAATCTCCCTCTTTGGCATCCGCCGGTGTTCCATCCTCACGGCGAATTCGTTTGGGTTATTTTTTTGGGTTGTTTTCGGGAGAAAAGGGATTTTTATTTAGGGAGGCGGCTGGACGCGCGCACGTCCCGCGCACTGTGGGGCTGATGGCAGCCGCGGGCTCTGCTCTCTCGCCCACCCAGACCATCCTGAACTCCATGCACAAGTACCAGCCCAGGTTCCACATAGTCCGGGCCAACGACATCCTCAAGCTGCCCTACAGCACCTTCCGCACCTACGTGTTCCCCGAGACCGACTTCATCGCCGTCACTGCCTACCAGAACGACAAGGTATGGCCGGGCAGCCCCTGCCCTGTCCCTGTGCCCTGTCCCTACCCCTGCTCTCACCCCTGTCCCAACCCTCACCCCTTTATTAGGGTGTATTTACATACACGTGTGTGCGTGAGGATATTTCAGGGCAGAGTGGCCAAAAAGCAGTAATAGGAGAAAGGTTAAACCCCAAGCCCTCAGAGCAGGGTGCACCCTCATACTTACTCCTATTATTATCGCTGGTTTTAATACTAATACCAGCATCATTATCAGTATTTCAATTATTACTATTAATAATTTCCTACTGGGGTTTGTTGTGTCTTTCTGGGCTGTGGGAGTCTTTGCTGCAGGCCCAGGCTGTGGAGAGCAGCACCAGGCCTGGGCAGCCTCACCGAGAAGGTGCCCTGGGCTCTGGAGGAGCCAAAAAATAGAGCCAGATAAGCTAATTTTAGTTGCTTTCGTGATTTAGCAAGTGTCACCCTGTGAGCAACCAGAGCCTGGAGAGCTCGGTGGGGAGCAGAGAGCCTCTGCCGTCCCCCTCCAAGAGTTGTGTGTACGTGTGTGTGTTTTAACCCAAAAGCTGACCCCCACCTCCACCCCTGGCTGCTGATGCTAATTGACAGCTCTGTCTGAGGGTCCTGGTGGGCTTGTTTCCCTCGTAAAGTTTATGGCGAAGAGTCACAATCGATTAAAGAGCACTTTGTCTGCTCGCCCGCCGCAAGCAGTGCGGGGCGGCCGCCGGGCCGTGGGCCCCGTCGGGCGGGGGATGCTCGGGCCGGGGGATGCTCGGGCCGGGGGTCGTGGCGGGGCCGGGCAGCCGGGCCTTTTGCAGAGCCCCCTCTCGGGGCCGTGTTTCAGAGCCATGCATTATTGAGCGCCCTGATGTCGCCGGGCCCCGGCAGCCCGTGGCGCGGGGAGGGATAAGAATAGCTTTTAACCAGCGGCCGCGCAGCTCAGTCGCCATCTTCCCTCCGGGGGGCCGTGAAAAATAACTTCCTATCATTAAGACGCCATTAATAATTCAAGCCCAAACCTCAGCATCATTTTTAATAAAGCATGCGGTGTGTTAACGCGGGGCCGCGGCGCGTTCCGCAGCCTGCGCCGCGCACCCTGCGCTCCCCGACGGCGGCGGGGACGGGGAGGGGGCGGCCGGGGCTTCACGTCACCTCCTCTGTCCTTCTCCCCCTCCACAGATCACCCAGCTGAAAATCGATAACAACCCCTTCGCCAAGGGCTTTCGGGACACGGGCAATGGCCGGCGGGAGAAGAGGTAAGGGGTGTTCCCGTCCCCCCCACGGCTCCGCGCCCGCCTGCGGGGGGACGGGCAGTGCCCGACGCTGCCTCTCGCCCGTAGGAAGCAGCTCTCGCTGCCGTCCCTGCGGATGTACGAGGAGCCCTGCAAGCCCGATCGTGACGGCGGGGAGTCGGACGCCTCCTCCTGCGAGCCCTCGGCCGTGCGCGACGCCCTCCACTCGCCCGTGGGTGCCCTCCCCAGCCCCCTGCGCCTCAAGGGCAGCGGCAGAGGTAACGGAGGAGTCTCGGTCCCCAGACATCCCCAAACGTCCTCAAACATCGGGGTTCTGCTCCCTCGGGGCTGCTGTGTGCTGATTTCTTGGGGGCAGTGAGGCAAAACACCAAGGAGAATAAAGATGGGGATGCGCAGGGAGGAAAAGACAAGAACTGAGCAAACTCTAATGGCATTCACGAGTTGCAACGTTTTTTCTCTTTATATATTTTATCTTGACTATATATTGCATCTTCTATACAGTTTATATCTTGTATTTATATTATACAAGGAGAAATGGCACGGCAGACCGTGCGCTCTCCATATCAGCCTGGCTCCTTACTGGTGTGTGCCCTGCCTTCCATGGGAAGCTCACATTCCCTAAAAAAAAAAAAAAAAAAAAGAAAAAAGAGGATAAAAACTCAGAAAGAATTAATTCATTTGAAAGGAGAAAAAAATGTTGTAACTCCAGGGCTGCAAGCTGGTGAACGAAAATAAACCAGCAGCTCCACATAGCAGTTTTTCGATGCTGGGTTTTGTCTTGCCGCACTATCAGTCTGCTCTTTAAACTTTCCACCAGCCCGATTCCCTGCAAACCTTCATCAAAACTACAACACCCCCCCCTCCTGAGCTGGAGGGAGGGTTTATTACACCCCTCTCCACTTTCAAAGGCTTCCCCGAATATTCGCCCCAGCCTGCAGAGCTTCACCTCACCCGCACCAAAAGGCTTTTCTCGTTTAGTGGAGCCGGGCAGGGGTTCAGCTCCCCTCGCCAGCCCCTCGCATCCCCCATCCTCCTCCGAGAGCTCAATGGGGTTTTTTAAATTAAAGCCCCTTTTAGGAGGGTCTGTGCCGTACTCCCTGCCTTAAAACTGCCTCTTTAACCTGCCTCAACCTGCACATTTGGAATAAATCCACGGCACGCAGTTGATCAGCTCCACGTAATTAAATCTATGGAGGACCATTTCCTCTCGCGCTGTCCAGCGCCCGCTCTCCTCATCCCCCGCTCGGAGTTTGCAGCTAACGAGAGCGATGCTGTAATAGATTTTGGTTCTCCATCAAACATGTTTTTCTGTTTGGCAGAGCAGCAGGACTGCTGTTGCTAATCCCCTTTTCCCCAGAGCGGCCGTAGTGCGAGGGCCCATTTCTGCCCCCAAAATGAGTTTCTCTCGTTAATAACGATCTAACGATCGCAGCTTCGCTGTCGCAACCTCTCCCTGACACCAGGGCTCTCGCCAGTGACCCGCTCCTCACCTCCCCTGGGTGCTTCTGCTCTGACCCTCTGCCCCTCCATCCCCTTGCAGAGGAGAAGCCGGGGGCCGACAGTGATGCGGAGGTGGAGAAGGTGCCCGAGGAGCGGCCGGTGGCAGCCGCCAGCCCCAGCGGGGAGGACGCGACGCCCCGCGGCAGCCCCCGGTGCCTGGAGGAGCGGGGCAAGGAGAGGCACAGCCCGGAGAAGGTCAAGGATGGCGCATCCCCCCGGGAGGGTCCCGGCGAGGGCCTGTTCGGCACACGGGGCCTGGAGAAGGACAAGGTGGAAGGACGGAGGAAAGAGACGGAGCCGGGCAAGAAGGACACGGAGGGCAGTGGGCTGGGCAAGGAGGCCTTCGCCCCGCTGATGGTGCACACGGACAGCCCCCCGCACCTCAGCGCCGGGCACCTGCAGAGCCTGGCGCTCTCCGGCCTCCATGGGCAGCAGTTCTTCAGCCCGCTGGGCGCTGGGCAGCCCCTCTTCATCCACCCGGGACAGTTCGCCATGGCCCCCGGCGCCTTCTCTGCCATGGGCATGGGACACTTGCTGGCCTCGGTGACCGGTGGGGGCAGCCTGGAGAATGGAGCCCTCTCGTCTGCCCCGGGCGCGGCAGGGACGGCCACCCCCTTCCCTTTCCACCTCTCCCAGCACATGTTGGCCTCTCAGGTAAGACCCTGCGCCTGTCCTGCATCCCTATCCCCATCCCTGCTGTCTGGTCAGGCCCCGGCACCTCCTCTCCATGTCCTCCCAAAAGGCACCCTGAATGATGGAGGACTTTGGGGATGCAGGCCAGGCTTGGCTAGCATCACCCCCCTGTGGGGACATGTGGGGTGGCCCCAGTGCAGGAAAAGTGCTTTTGGTGCCCCCAGCCTCCCCCCCAGGCCCTCTGCAGCCTCTGCAGCCTTGGGAACAAGAGGGTGACACCCCTGACATTGCTGCCTGGTGAGGGACATTTAGAAAGTTGGCCTCAGGGGTGATTTGAGGAGGAATCCTGATTTTTTTTGCAGCTGCCATGGTTCTTCCATAAGCAAGGGCAGAGTCAGGATCTGTGGCCCTGCCTGACCTGGCTGTCCCTATCCAGCATCCCACCATCTCCCTGTCAGCTTTGAAACAGCTTCCACAATGCCTGGGCTTGTGCTGCCTTTCCCATCCCCTCTGACGAAATACATGAAGATGTCTTTGAACTCCCCTAATTTATCGATCCTGCTTAACAATGTGTTTTAATGTGGTTAAAGGGCTGTGATGCTGCACAGACGAGGGCACGCAGCACGCAGGGAGGGGACGGGGCAGGCCTCAAAGAGGGGTTTGTGTTTGGTGTCATCAGCCTGGGGTGGATGGGGACCCCCATCCCGCAGCCTGTTCCACATGGATATCCCCACACTGTGTTTTTAGAGTGACACTGAGGTGTCCCAGCTTTGCCTTGGCTTTCCTGGGAGAAGGCAACTGGGGGGCAGGCAGGAGTGGGGGGACACAGCAGGCATCGCCACAGCTCTGACCCAGCATCTGCACAGCTCTGACCCCTGTTCCTCTCTCCACAGGGAATCCCGATGCCCACCTTCGGCGGACTCTTCCCCTACCCCTACACCTACATGGCGGCGGCAGCGGCGGCCGCCTCGGCCATGCCGGCCACCAGCGCCGCGGCCGCGGGGCCGCTGTCCCGCAACCCCTTCCTGGGCAGCAGCCGCCCCCGCCTGCGCTTCAGCCCCTACCAGCTCCCGGTCACCATCCCGCCCAGCACCAACCTGCTGACCACCGGCCTCCCCGCCAGCCTCAACCCCGGCTCCGAGGGCTCCAAGGCCGGCAGCAGCCGCGAATCCAGCCCCCTCCCCGAGGTGCCCCTGCACAAGGGGGGCAGCCAGCGCCCCGCCGCCTCCCCCAAGGGCTCCCTGAAGGAGTCCCTCAATGAACTGCAGAACATCCAGAGACTGGTGAGCGGGCTGGAGAGCCAGCGGGAGCTGTCACCCGGCAGAGAGTCCCCCAAGTGACCGACGGGGCGGGCGGCGAGCCCTCCCGGCGGGGCGGAAAGCACTGGTATTTTGTACAGCACAGTATAAATATTTATTGTGGAGCGAGGGGTGGGCGCGGACAGGGAGCGGAGTGCTGGAGCAAAGGGATGGACCCCGCCGGCCAAGCGGACCCACCACCCCAGAGCCAGGAGGGAGCGGTCGGAGCGCGGGGCTCACCCGCCCCTTCAGCTGTGGGGCTGGGAGCGGCTCCCCCCGCTCCAGCGAGGCCACGGAGCCCCCAGGACACCCCGTTTCCCCGTTCTGGGCACTGGGCAGCTCGAGGGGGGGTAACAAGCCCACATGGAGACACCTGATGGATGGGGCAACCCCAACCCCAGCCCCAGCCCCGATCCCGGGCAGGTGAGAGGGGCCAAACCCTCATCTGTGCAAGGGGAGGAGGAAGGAAAAAATAATTTAAAAAGTAAGGAGAAAAAAAAAAAAGATATAAGAAACAGAAGATGGAAAACAAGCCGCCTCGGCAGCCACCGCGCAGAGCGGGCACGGTGGGGGAGCCTCGTGGGTACCTGGGCAGATATTTATGAAATAAATGGTAATTTGTGTAAATAAGCTATAAGGATCCCAGAATATGCAAATTGGTATTAATTTATTCAGAGTTGTACATTGGTGTGTACATAATATTTAGAGTTTAACTCATCGCATTTAAGGTTTTTTTTTCTTTTTTTTTTCATTTTACATGAACATATATATTGTAAATGAAAACTATTTAGCTCTTTGTGATTGAAGGAGATATCGGTTTCTCTAACTGTGTTTTAAAATATTGTTTATCCCGCCTGTTCTCTAGGACAATCATGTGCCACCAGTAAAACGATTTTTGGAGTCATTGAAACTAAGAGTTCAATCCTTTAATGGACTTTTGCAAGAAAAAAGAAAAAAAAAACAGCAAATCCAAAACTTAACTAAAATATCGCTACAGTGCGGGGTATAGAGAATGCAGGAATAAACCTCAGGTTTTTATTTTTCACTCCAGAACAAAAAAAAAAAAAAAGTATAATAAATTTAAATATCACAGGACTGTGCTCTATATTTGTTTTAAAATAAAAAAGATACATGATTTGCAACGTGCTGGTTACTCGGGTATCTGTCTGTTCGGTTTTGATGAATTCTCACATCTTTCAATAAAAAAAAAAAATCTACTCGGAGAAGTCCTGCCGGCTCCCGCCTGTTTCATTCCTGTCGGGGCCGCCGCTCCTCCGCAGGTGCGCAGCGCTGGGAGCCGCCCCCCTTCCGAGCTGCGCGGAGCTTCCGCAGCCGAGCCCCTTATTTATTAGGGAAAGAAAACGCCCCGGGTTGCCACCGCGCCGGCGGAGCGTTGCAAGGGGCTCTTGGGGCAGGGGGACCCTCCGCCGGCTCTGCCCGTCGGGGATCGCTGCCTTCAGGGCCTTTACCGGCCCCGTAAGACCCCGCTGCGGGCGGGGGTGGCGCGGCAGGTGCGCGGGGCGGGGGCGCGGAGGTGCGGCGGGAGGGATGCGGCACCGGGAGTCTGCCCGCGCTGTCCTCGGGGCCACCCGCGAAAGCAGAGCCAGGGGACGCCGGTGCCGTCCCGCCGTGCTGAGGGGATGAGCATCGGTACCGGCGGGGACCGGGGTGCGCTGGTCACACCGGCACCGGTGAGGAGGGGGTGACCGGGGCAGAGCGGCACCGTCGGTGACGGGGAAGGGGTGACGGGGAAGGGGTGACGGGGAAGGGGTGACGGGGAAGGGGTGAGCCGGGGATGGTGAAGGCGTGACCCGGGGACGGTGAAGGAATGACCCGGGCACACCTGTACCGTCGGGGATGGTGAAGGAGTGGTCCGGGCACGCCGGTACCGTCAGGGATGGTGAAGGAATGACACGGACACGCCGGTACCGTCGGGGATGTGGCTGGCCCGGCGAGGGGGCTGTGGGTCCCCACGTCTCCCCCCGCGCCCGCAGCCGCTCGGGGCGTTGCGGAGCGCGGCCGCGGAGGACGCAAACAGCCCTTTTCCTCACCAATTACCCTTCTCCCGTTCCCGGGAAGATTTACGGCCCCGGGCGCGGCGGGGGGGGGGCGCGGCCCCCTCGGGCCGGAGCGGCAGCGCCGGGCGCGGGGCTCCCTCTGCCGGTGCCGCCGCGCACCCGCCGCCGCGCGGCCCCGACGGGGCGGGTCGTGGGCGGGCGCGGCTCCTCCTCGGCCTCCCCCGAACCCCCGCTCCAGCCCTCCAGGGGGCTGCAGGCGGGGAAGGGGCCTTGGACCACCCCCCCACACACCCGTCGTGGCAGTGTCAGAGGGGAGATGCTGGCGCTGGGTCCCTCGACGGCGGGAGAGGAGCCGCTGCCTCTGCGAGAGGAGTGAGGCCATTTCCGCCGGCGGGGGGGGACCGGCAGGGTGGGAACGGCTTAAGCAGGAGGAGGGAAGTGTAGTGACTAAAATTAGGCTTATTTCCGAATAAACATCACTCAGGATGAGTAGCGATTTAATGGGCTCTATTTTTAGTGAGGGGGCACAGCATGTGCCAGTGTGGGGGATCTCCTGGCCCTTTCCCCCTCCAATCCAACCATGCTGGATTTAGGCTGAGCTGGCTGGGAGAATCACAGCAGGGAGATGGTGACAGTGTTGCCGAACACGCCGGGGAGCCTCGTGCCAGGTTCCTGCCACCCTGGTGGGTCAGGGACAGCCACATCACCCATCTTGGTTCTGTGGGACAGTGAGTGTTCAAACATCACTTCCTTCTTGGTGCCAGTGGGACATCCCAACCTGCCCATTGAGCACAAAGCTGCTCTTCGCTGGAGAGAGGAAAAGTGTTCTGAGCAGAGCGTGGGTTCACGATGGTGGCCCCAAGGGACGGTGCCTAAGGGCAGGGAGCAGGGCCCCCCCAGGCAGGGGGTATGGGCAGTCGGGTGTTTTGGCAGGAGCCAAGCTGCTCCAGGCCTGCCCTGGCCAAACCTAGGCTCTGAGAAACCCTATTCAAGCAGCTCGATGAGCAGCTACCGATTAGTCACGCACTGCGCTGGGATTATTTTCCTCAGCTATGAAAAGGCTCTGGGAGGCCTCGCAGGGGCACACCCGGCACAACCCCCACATGGCTCTGCTGCTCTGCACCCGGCAAAACCTGGCTTGGCCATGGTCCCGTGGGCACTGTCAAGTCATGAAAATAAAGCTCTGGGTGCTCCAGTGACCTCCAGGGCTGGTGTTTAACCAGCAGGTAACGCTGGTGCCATGTCACCAAGGCAGTGAGATCCTTGAACACTGAGGTCTCCACCAGTGTTAGCGGAGAATTCTGAATTTCCTTAGCTAAATGCACAAGGTGCTTGGCCAGACACTAAAAATAGCATTCTTGCCCTGAGGGTTTCGTGGGCCTGGTGGACAAACCCCCCGGCCGATTTGGCCGCTGAGCTGCCGTGCAGCACAATAGTGCTGCTGGAACAGCTCCACGGGCGGCTGTTTGTAAACAGGAATATGGATTCATGCCAGAGAATCTCGCAGCCCCGTGGAGGGGGAACGTTGCCACAGGTCCCGTCCTTGTGCAGCCCAGTGGTGGCTTTTCAGGACCACCCAGCCCTCATTTGGGCTGCAGGGCTGTGCTGCTGGCCCCGTGCCCGTGTGTTATCCCAGTGCCACCGTGCACTGCCCGAGCATGTTGGGTCATGGATGCAGGGCAGAATAATGGAACCATAGAATGGTTTGGTTTGGAAAGGACCTTAAGGCTCTTCTCACTGCAATCTCCTTCCACTATCCCAGGCTGCTCCAAGCCCTGTCCAGCCTGGCCTTGAACATTTCCAGGGATGGGGCATCCACTGCTTCTCTGGGAACCTTGTACCAGCGTCTCACCACCCTCACAGGGAAGAGTTTCCTCCAAACATCTAATCTAAATCTCCCCCTCTTTTAGTTCAAAACTGTCCCCTCCTTGTCCTATCCTATCTGTCTGTGTAAACTCTGTGCTCTCCATCTTTTTATAAACCCCCTTTTAAGTACTGAAATTTGCAGAAGGGGCAAGGGAGGTGTTGGCACCTCTCTGTGTGCACCCAGGCCCTGACTGCTGTGAAGGGTGTGGAAATAGGGCTTTTTGTTATTGCTGAGTGGGGTTTATAGGAGCAGACACTGCAGAGCCTGGAGGAAATGCAGATGGGCAGCATCCTGAGAATGATTCCATGGAACTGGGCATGCCGTGGTGCCAGGGTCCTGTCCCACCTCGGGAGCTCCCCCAGCCCTGGGGGCTCCCAGGGCCTGTCGGTGCCACACACAGGTTCCAGTCCCCCATTTGAACATTTCAGTGAACATCTGGGCCGCTCGGCCAGCCCCGGCCGTGCGACTACAGGGTGCGGCCGTCGGGGCAGAGGAGCCCCGGTCCGACGGGGCGGGCGGGGTGGTGGCAGCTCTTTATGCCGGGCTGGCGCCGTCCTGCCGCCGCGCTGCCTCCGCGCCCGGGACAAAGCGGAGCTGGCCAAGCCCCGGCCCCGGCTCCCAATTAAGGCCCCGCCGGCGCTGCCCCCCGCGGCGCGCAGGGGCGGGGGGCGATCAGCCGCGGTCTCGGCCCTGGAGCCCCAATTACCCGCGGGGCCGCCGCTCTGTCTGCGGCTCCCGATCGCGGATCAATAGACAAAGGGCAGCGGCGGGACCCCGGCGGAGCCCCTGCTCACGCACAGACACACCCCCGTGCCCAGCGAAGCCTCGCCCCCCATCCCGGCCGGGCATCCCCGTGCACCGGCCTCACCTGCGCGCTCGGGGCCGCGGCTCCGCACCTGTGCCCGGAGGGGATTTACGGGGCTGCGCGGGGCCCTCTCCTCCCTCCCGCCCTGTCAGTGGGGCTGCGGGGCTGAGCCCTCATGGGGCGTCCTGGAGCCCCGGTGTGGAGCACAGCTGGTCCCGCCTTGGGTGAGCCTCAGTCCCCCTTGCCCGCTCCAGGGCTTTTCCCCTCGGAGCCTCTGCCCGGGTCCTTCCTCCAGGCAGAGGCATCTCACAGGTTTCCTGACCCCACTCATCCAATTCTGGACCGTTGTGCCCGCGGGGGGACGGTCCGTGTCCCGGGCCGGGGGTGCGGGGAGGACACAGCGGGGTCCAGGTTCTGGGAACCCAGAGACACTTTGATCCGTGCGGGTGTTTTCTGGGGGGGTGGGGTGGGTGGGGGTGTGTGTGTAGTTTAAAAACATTATCAGGGGAAAAGCAGCTGTTTATTTTGATGCGAAGCCGGTTCTTAGCCGCAGGCAGCGTTTGCTCCGTCCTTGCTCTGAGGCAGGGTGGGAAAGGGGAAAGGGGAGGCTCTCGGTTTATTCCGGTTGTTTACAGCGCCGGGTGATGGCGAGGGAGAGCCGGGTCTGTCGCCCCTCGGCGCCCGCCCGGGCCCTTTCCCAGGCCTTCCCCGGAGCCGGGCCGGGAAGGGAGGAGGCGCGGCCGCGCCCCGACGGTGCTCTCTGCTCGGGACATCCGACGGGAGGCACCGGAGGCTCCGCTGCTCTCCTCGGGGGTCCAGACCGCTCCCAGCCCTCGCCGAAGGGGAGCGGCACCGCTTGGTTCTGGGGTCGAAAGGAGAAAAAAAAAAAAAAAAAGGCAGGGTTTTTTCCTTCCCTGGATGTTCCTCGGCTCGGGAACATCCCAGCCCCGTCCCGGCCGTGCCCGGCGCTACCCCGGGATCGGCCACCAGGTGGCGAAGTGGCTGCGCCGAGGGGGCGGCCCCGGGGGGGTGGTCGGTGTCGGGGTTCCCTGGGGGGTTCTCCGAGGGGGTGGTCGGTGTCGGGGCTCCCCGGGGGGCTGGTCAGTGTCGGGGCTCCCCGCGAGGTTCCCCAGAGGCAGCAGCCCGTGCCAGTGCCAGCATCAGTGATCCCGGGGGTTTGACTTCCTACAGACCTCAGGGATGGGAGGTCTGCAGGACCCCCCCACGATGTGCCCAGCCGCTGGTCCCTCTGTCCCCTGCTCTCACACCCTGTGTCCTGCCCCCCTGCACTGCCAGGTTGCACCTTTCTGAGGGCGTTTGTGTGGGTTTGTGTTCACTTTTTCTGTGCGTTTGTTCTGCCAAAAAGGTTCGCTCTGCTACACCTACAGAGCCCCTCAGAATGCAGTGAATGCTCGCTCCAAGGCACGTAAGCCCCACCAAGCATCCAGGATCACTGGTGCTGTGTCTTCTACACGCTGGATTTTGTATTGCCTGA